AATTATGGAAATAAATTAAGGAGCAACAAAAACATCCCGACCTTAACCACTCGAGTACAAGTCCGGCAGGAATTCTTTCAAGAACCAGTTTCTGAACTTCATGTACTGAATAACAATCACGTTCATTTAATCTATTAACGTCTTCTTCGGCTCTAATTTTGAAGGCACGCCATCTGGCATGGTTGCCACATTCGAAGGGCTGAAGAAGTAAAAGTACATGCAGAGATCAACAATTCAGTCCACGCGGAGCACTTCTGTCTCCGAACGTAAACGTAAAGCCGTCCCGCTAAATGCCACGTAGGTTGCTTGGGGGGAGAGGAGGTACAGATCGTACTCATTCTTGACCTCGTCACTAGATGGGGTGAGTGGTCAGCATCACGCCTCAGGTGTGCTTTACCCCTGGTACCCACTGACAAGGAGGCTGGGTGGGACCCAGAGCCGGTCTGGACGCAGCGGCTAGAGGAAAAATCCTCTGACCATTGGGGATCGAACCCCAGTCGGACTTATTACTAGTTCGACTGAAGGTGTTACCTGCAAAATTGTCGTCTCATAGATCCGCTGACCATTCACGTATGTCTCCGCATTCCCACTGCACGGCGTAACCGTGACGATTCCTTCCGTGTGAGCAATGACGCAGTGCCTCGGCTGTACGTTCGGTCCAAAAAGCTGCAACGACTGTGACTGGTGGCCATGTTGCTGCGATCCGGCCGAGTTGATCGGTCGTTCACTGCCAACTTCAGTTACATTTGGGTGGAGGACGTGGCGTTTTGGTGTGCCATTTACAATATCTGTACCATCTGAAAGCGCGCAGTTACAATTACTGACTTCAATGCTAATATGCTCTATTAATTAAACACTAGATTCATCTTCATATTATTAAAATTGAAAATACAGAAAGAAGTAATTACAACTGCAGAGCAGAAAAACCGTCAGTAAATGCAAGTCGTGTGCTTCTATAAACCTGGAAAGTGAATCTGAATTTTTGAACATTGTTTTTCATGTGGACATGAGAGAAGAAATAGTACAACATTCATAGCCTTTGGCTTCAATTTAATATTTAACAAAAGAGGAAGTTAGTTTGAGTCTTGAGGGGGGGGGGGTATTATTTTAGGAGCCCATTCAGCCCCTCAATTAAATACTCCTTGAATGAAAAAAGTGGACCAAGCATCACAACACAACGCACCTGGGTTTAGCTCGAGGAAAAAGGGCAGTCTGTCATAACCATCCTCGTAGCGATATTCCGTAAGCTCGCTGCCCTTGTTCCATTTCTGCTGAGGTTTCTTCTTCCGCTTACGAGGATGGTAGTCGGCCGGCCGTCTCCGAACATGAAACATTATAGAACCTGGAACAACATACAAACCAAAATCCATTAAAAATTGACACGACAAGCGTCCAACAGCTAAAGACAGCACAATAACACGTTCTTCTGCGACGCTTCTCGGTACATCAGAATTACCCAACAAATTCATGCTCATGTATTCCTTCTTAGAAACAAGGGACAGGCAAATACATATGACAACAGCTGTGTCTATAAAGCAGCACAGGACAGAAAATTACTATAAAAAGTCATGCACCATGAAATTCATCCCGACACAGGCGAGGCTTGTGAATATGAAGATAATGGAGTCCTCCATGAAAGAGAAGCTGTAACCACACCGAGATGTTGGCCATCTGCCCTGCATTATCTGCTGCCACGTAACCTTGGTAATTGGTACAGTGTCTTTGACAAATCTAAAATCTTGATAGAAATGCAGAAACATCAAATTAAAAACTACAGTACCGCTGGAATCATCCGGCGTGCAAACTTGAATGTTCATAATTATGAGTGGTTATAAATTACTTATTCATAGTAACCTTTAACCTTTCATGAAAAGTCGTAAATGAGAGTGCTGTCAAGGCGTGGACAGGGAAATATGGTTTGCAATCACATTAGTCTGGCCACATAATGAACAATTGCGCTACATACTGGAACACAGAACTTCCTGGGGGACTACGTAACGTGTAAGCTGCTGCCATTAAAATAACGAAGCTTTGCAATTAGTTCACCATTACTAAATTTCATACTAAGAGCATGTTCATAATGGGAAACAAAAATTGTAACTACACCACCAAATGAAAACTCAAGCCTCTGATTATTCCTATAACAGAAGAAATCATTTGATACTAGGATCTCTACTGCGCGTGTCATGTTACCGTGAAATTTCAACGTGCCGTCTGTACAGTTCAGTTTCTACTTATCAAAACTTTCTTTTTATTGTAAAGGCTTGTACGGTTCAATTAACATTTAAAATTTATAACCAAGCTTCCAATTTTACCACGTAGAAAAGAAAATTCCCCACCTTCGTGCATGTAGGTCAATTTCCTGTTCCATATTTTACGTTCTCTCGTCTAAAGGCCCCGCCATCGATTACATGCTCCAATGGCACGCAATGTTCCAACCACGGAGCTCCAAGGCACATAAGAGCATCGTCTGGCGACCGCTAGATGTATTTAATTACCAGCCTCTGCACTGGATGTACCAACAGAGACCAATTATTCGTGGAGATTTAGAGTCAGATTAATAAAAACCTATGACGCAGTACGCGAAGAACCTGTTAGGTTAATTAAAATACATATGAATGAAGTGTGATGCTTTCTCGCTCTACAGCGGGTTATAAAGGAGGAAGCTTTATCCTGAATGCTTTTTAATCTTGGTCTATGAAGGTATGGGCGTATCAGGAATGCTTGGAATAAATAACACAAATCACGCACTTACGTGGATGATACTCCGCCAGAATGTGAACCTAAGGCCTTCTGAATATGAAGCCGAAGCTCGCCTAAATAACATTTAAGAATTCAGACCGTACCGCGAAGAAAACACCGCACTTTACCATTAAAAAGATCAACTGGTTAACGCTCGTTTTAATCAACCCTTCGAAGCCGAAGCTCTTGTAAATAATATTTAAGAATTCAGTCCGTACCGCGAAGAAAACACAACACTTCACCATTACAAAGATCGACTGGTTAACGCTGTTTAAGGAAATAATCGCTGTTTACATTGAGAATCATAGTTCGTCTGATTAATATTTAAGAATTCAGTCCGTACCGCGAAGAAAACACCACACTTCACCGTTACGAATATCAACTGGTTAACGCTGTTTACTGTGAGGATAGTACGAAACACATACATACACTGAGGAAGAATGCAGGCGGTACAGCCACCAATGGGCTTCAAAGAGACAAGAGAACGCACCTCCATGAAACCATCATCAATCACGTGCAACTCTCCTTTCTTACAATCTCCATACAGTTCGGTGCTGCTACTACAAACAGCGAACAGAGTTTGTGTCTCCACTTCGAAACACACTCCTTTCTCCCTCCGTATCAGGACTCACCGCCTTGAAAGTGGGAAGGAAGATACCCGTTACGTAAAACGGGATCTATTGACATTAGACGGCGTCGGTGCAGAAGGAGAAGGGAGATTGAAGCTGGGAAATGCTTAATCGCGTGGCTAGATCCTTACAGACACAAAACTTACGTAACTCACAACGGAAAAGGAAATGAAGTTTGCATGGGGGAGTTACAAATTCGCGTAAAGGCGTGAAGCAGATAGCGGTCGAATCTTTCAAGGACACAAACAGACGCGCATGAAACCACTTTCAACAGCAAAATACCGTGACAAATGAACTGTGATGTCCACAAGTGGGTAACGTTTCGGAGAAAAATATTGCCTCCATCTTCAGGGTTACCATGTTGTTTGTTATCGCTTTTTCCGGGTTACTTTGAGTCAGGTTTCCACTCGATGTTCTCCTAGTCACGTGAATAAATGTTCCGTTTAATCCAGGTTTCGTCACGTTTGTTTCTATGATCTACTTTAAGGAAAAAATTTTTTTTTTTAAAAAACAACAAAGTCCAGAAACATGGGTTGCCATTTGTAATTTGTAGCCTTCCGAAGAATTTCCACGTCCTACTTAAGCAAGTTTCTGCTAGGGAGCAGACACCAACATCCGGGGGTTCGAACCAAGCGCGTTCAGTGATTCTTTGAAGACGTAATAAACCTCGGACATTTCACAAAGAGACACGAGTTCAGTGCAGAAGGTGCGCTGTAAAGAACGGCGTGCAAGACAGTGCAAAATCTGATACAACTACAGGCAAAACATGGTTATTTACTGGTGCAGAGATGAGATATTAAAGTGATTAAACATCAAATAAAATAATTCACTAAACAAACCTAAGAGAACTTCGCATTTCCGATTCCTGGGATATTTGAAGGACCAAAGGCCGATCATTTTGCGTGAAAGTAACTCGCGACTTCACTTTCCCCGCAAATCCCAACGCAGCTCAGTCCAGTGACGTCATCGTTCACGTTTTATGAAGGATTATTTACGAGATTTCAACATCTCGTTAAATTTTCTCAACAACTGGATACAGTGATTATATAATACTTTTTTAAAACAATTTATGTAGGGGTAAACGCCCAGACAATATTACTGATTCCATCGACGTTCTTCATACACAGCAGGTAAAGTTCTTAATAATTAAACAACGAACACCCCAATCTTTAATCCTTTCGTAATTCCGCCGATCCAACTCTTTTCAATCCGTTGTTACATTGTTTCATAAAACAGTACATAATAACAAAACACGACGCCATTTTGACAATAGACAATGCGAGTAATGTTTCTTGACAGACCAACTGGATCGTAGGCCCACATTTCCAGAACTGGCAATAACAACAAGATATTGATATTGAGGTGAAAGACCATGGGACTCATTACGCAGGCGCTCCAAAAATGATTACAACACGCGAAACAGTAATTCCGTACACGCGTGACACAACGACCTTCCATTCTTTACGCACGGCGGGCGACCTTAAGCCCAGAAACACCGTACATTTATTTAATTCCGCTGGTTGACGCCGAGTTCAACAGCGCGCTGATCAGCGTCCTTAATGTTACATTCCAAAACGTCGGGCAACTTTGGACGTCTCTGAACTATCCTTTCTTATCAACGCATTTATCGCTTTGTTGGGTTACGTAACATCGAATGTTAAGATTCTTACGACTGATTAACTGGGAACAGCCTGCAGGTTATTCGAAGGCAGAACACTCGAGCGACCGACCAGTCGCCACGTCCGGTGTACTGGGCCTTCAGTCCGAGATGCTTCCCGTACATTTGTCTTCCGATAACAATTTCGTTTCGTCGTTTGTTTTAACCACCAACCCCGAGTACAGGGGCACCCAAAAGCAGCTTATCTTATTTAGTATTGCTTTCGGGCACAACACGTGTGAACTGGGACCATCGATAATAAAACACGTACACAGAGAGCGAATGGGGTGTCACTGTCGTATCATCCACCCCCACACTTCAACTGTGGGGTGAGGGGGGTTCGCCACAGGCCAACTAGGACCCAGAAGACGACACTTTCAGACCCCAATAATCTTGAGACGTTATTCTCACAGAATGAGGAAATTCGGAGATGAGATATGATCGGCTGGGGCCAAATGTGTAAACGTTGCCGACTTAAGTCGTGTATGTCACTATTTTGCTTTATGTGGTTTTGAAATCGATACCACGTAATAGGTTCACCGATAAAACAAAAGTGGACTGATCCAGGGGGAAGCCATCCGCGTGGCCTGCATATTTCATAAGCGTCGAGGAGTTTCTCTGCTTGCACTGACCTTGGCCGACGAATAAGGTTGAATAAAACCAAATGATGTCGCAAAAACACAAGCCGACACTTGGAAAGCGCACAATTTCGTATCGATATGAAAGAAAACATTAACGCCATTTTCTAAATGCAAATAAATTAGAAATCATCAGAAGTAACTCTCAGGAATTAATAAACGAACCCAAGGTATCTTCAGGGGTGACGCTTGAGCTGTCTACCACGCCATCTCTACACGTGCTGCGTCACTACAACTTTCTTCTTCCTGAAGACCGCATTTTGGTTACCCCCTTCATGTAAAAGCTCGTCTAAATAATATTTAAGAATTCAGCCCGTACCGCGAAGAAAACACGACACTTCACCATTACAAAGATCGAAAATAATATTTAAGAATTCAGCCCGTACCGCGAAGAAAACACCACACTTCACCATTACAAAGATCGAAAATAATATTTAAGAATTCAGTCCGTACCGCGAAGAAAACACGACACTTCACCATTACAAAGATCGACTGTTTAAGGAAATAATCGATATTTATTCAGAAAAAAACATACGAAGCATATCAATACGAAATGAAGAGTTACTGTGGTAAGTATAATTACCACGGGGATTTAAAGGGCAGCCTCTAAACCAAACCGTCTGACTCTTGAGAAAAAGTGACAGCTTGCGACGTTGGTCTGCTACTTTAAATGTCG